AATGCACTAAAATGACATACATCAGGGAGAAACCCCAAAGCTTTACCAGCTTATACTGAACTAACAATAAAATTAGTGCTTCAGAATTGAAATGTTTCAAGTGCAGGAGTTCTGTTTCAAATGCAGGAGTTCTGCAAAACTAAGGTCAAATATTGCTTTTGGTGTGTATCCAAAATTTTAGCAAGTGGTGTTGTGAGGACCAGAGTTACAGTAATATAGTGGTTTTGTTACCTGTGCTTCATATGGAGCATGGTAAAATAAAAGTAATGACAGTGTATCCTTTCTACTGAAAAGCTTCCTAATATGAGTTGGCAAAGGTATTCTGTACTTCTTGCCATAAGCTGCTTGTTTTCTTGTTTACTGTTACATGGTCCATGTGGCCAGGGTAGGGTAAATCAATGAATTCTCCCCCTCAGGGGCTCTCCTGCCATGCCTTCGATGTTGAGAGAATAAAGAGAGATGTTAAACCCTGAAGGATCATGCAATTGATCACCCTGCTCTTAAACAAAATGAAAATTGGTTTTATTTAGTTTTCCAGTTACAAACGCAGCCGCAGCTGTTTTTCTTATAGCAACGGGGCTCCGGGTCCCCTTTTTCTATGATGCCACCAGAGAGGTTATATCCTGACCTCTCCTCCTGTTCCTTCTTTTCTTCACAGGTCTCTGCTGTCTATCCCAGTCCTCCTCTGAACTCCCTCAGTCCAACTCACCAGGTAAGTGCTTGCCGCTTATTTCTCTGCGAGTGCAGGGATCAAGCCACGGTTCATCTCACTTGGTGCATGAGGCTCCGTTGCTCTTGCTCTGAGTCTTGGCTGCCTTCGGCAGCGCTGGCCTCTCTTCCCTCCCCTGCTTCTTCATGTGCCCTTGGGGGCAATCTGCCACCCCGAAGTTCTCTCCTTTTGTAGTTCCCTAGATCCTAATCTACTGTGCCTTTCTCCCCAGTGTGAAACAAGGCACAGCTGTGTCTTGTGCCAGTGTCCATCCCCTTTCTGTGACCCAGTGTGACAGGGGCACTCTCCTGAGGCTGGGTCTCATGTCGGCCTGCCCACTTGTCGCCATGGGTCAATCTGCCCAGTTTTTCCTGCCATGACTTTTCTGTACCTACCAACAGATGGTAAATACGGGAGACTGCCCATTATATGCCCTGATGCCTGGGGCGCTATCTGCGGCTCTGAACCTTCCCTACCCCAGCCCATGTCTCACAGATAGCATCCTGGTTAATATCACTCCTGGTCTGAGACCAGAGCAAACTGAGTCCAAAGTTGAGCTACACACACACACACACACACACACACACACACATTCACACCACCTCCCCTCTCACAGGAGGCCTGTTCCACTCCACCCCTCTCTCACTGGGGCTCCTGGTATACTGCCTGTTACCGGGCTACACTCCACTGCTCTACTCCTCCTTGAGTGGCCCCTACTGGGTCATCAGGCTTTGCTACTCCCATATTGGCCTCACCACGCAGGACCTTCAGTTCCCGCGAGTTCCCCTACTCTATGTGATCTGGCCCTATGCCAAACCCTGAGCTAATTCTGCCCCAAGCCCCTCACCTTACCCAACTTCCCATGGGGTTGGCCCTTGCGCTATCCTTCAAACTTACTCCCATTTGGCCCTACTCAGTGCACCCCTTGGGCTGTCCTTCAGGCCTACTCCAACTTCAGCCCTTCTCAGCCCCCACACACACACAGCCCTTCAGGCCTACTCACACTTCAGCCCTACTGTGTGCAGGGCCTCCCAATGCTCTTCATACTAGGGTCCCCTCTAGGGTCTCCAGGACCTCGTATCCCTGCTGGGCTCACTTTACTGGGTTCTTTCTGCCCTTAGTAAGATCTGTCAGTGGCGCCACTATCTGTGAAAAACCTCTGGTAAATTTGCAATAATATTTTGCAAATCCAAGGAAGGACATGAGCTGTTTTAGGGTCCTCGGGAGTTGGTACTGGTGAAGGGCCTCCACTTTATTGGCTACAGACCTTATTTGGCCTTGACCAACCATGAACCCTAGGTACTGAGTTTCCCTTTTTCCTAGGGCACACTTTTTTGTATTGGGTGTTAACCCAGCCTGCCTGAGTTCCCCCAGAATTGCTGTAAGGTGTCAACAGTGCTGATCCCATTCTTCAGAAAACATTATAATGTCATCGATATATGCTGAAGCATATTCTTGATGAGGGGCGAGGAGGGTGTCCATTAGCCTCTGGAATGAGGCTGCAGCACCATGCAACCTGAAAGGCATTCCCCTGAATTAGAATAGCCCCCAGGGAGTGCCAAATGTGGTCTTTTCCCAGTCACTGGCAGCCATTGGGATCTGCCAGAATCCTTTAGGTCTAACATCAAAATATATTTAGCAGTCTCGACCCGTTCTATCATATCTTCTATTCTAGGCATGGGGAAGGCTTTGAACATCGCAACTTCATTAATTTTATGGTAGTCTATACAAAGCCTAAGGTCCCATCAGGTATTGGTACAATCACCAAGGGACTTCTCCAGGGGCTGTGAGATTCTTTAATCACCCCCAGACATAGCATCTGCTCTATCTCAGTCTGGACTGCTGTCCATTGGTGTCTTGGCAAGTGTGTCCACTGGTTGCATACTATGCAACCCGCTGGGGTCTTTATTCTGTGTTCTATTCTCAGGCTTCAGCTGGCACCTCTGTGAACACATCTCCAAATTCTTTCACTATGTTTTTAGGTCAGCTTGTTGCATTTCCTCTAGGGTATCTCCGACCTCGAGAGTCTCTTTTCTCTCTCGAGATACTTCTGGTTCCCTGAGGTTCTCTAGATAAACTTTCCTCTGCATCACCCCCCCCTCCTGTAGAAGCCACTTTCATAAGAGATATTTCTCTGCATCAACCACCCCTCCTGTAGAAGCCACTTTCATAAGAGATTGATGTGGTAGATTTGCTTCCTGTAGATCGGCTCAGTCCTTTAAACCTCATAATTAACAGGACCTACTTTCCTAGTTACCCGGAAGGGCCCTTGCCATTGAGCTAACAATTTATGAGTATTATCAAGTAACATTATTAGGACTTGGTCTCCTTGTTGTAATTCTCTCTCCTTGGCCTGTCTGTCATAAAGCTGCTCCTGGTTAGCTTGGCTTGTACTTAAATTGTCTTGTGTGGTGGAGTGGACTTTGTCCAGTTTCTCTCTTGAATCCACTATCACCTTTGGAAGTCTGTTTCTCTCCCCCTCTGGCTTGACCCAGTGTTCACAGATCAGGTCTATTAACCCACGTGGCTTGTGGCAAAAAAACTAATTCAAAAGGTGTGAATTGTGTGGAAGTTTGTGGGGCTTCTCGGACAGCAAACAATAAGGGTGGTTACATCTCTTCCCATTTATGTGGATCCCCTTGAATACAGGCCAGTATCATATTTTTTAAAGTGCGGTTGAACCTTTCAACTAGGTCGTCGGTCTGAGGATGATACACTGACATCCTTAATTGCTTAATCCTTAAGGTCTTGCTGACTCCTTTTAGGATGGCAGACATGAAATTCTTCCCTTGACCTGTAAGGATCTCTTGGGGAATACCGACCTAGGCTATCCATTTTATTAAGGCTTCTGCAACCTTGGTAGCAGTTATGGATCTTAAGGGGACTGCCTTGGGGAATCTGGTAGTGTAATCAATTATCACTAGACCAATTTGGTACCCTGCCCAACTATGAGGAAAGGAAGCAGCTATGTCCATGGCTATTCGATCGAAGGGTCTTCCTGCCAGGGGTAGCAGCATCAGCGATTCCCTTGGGGGTTTTACCCCTCTCGTTTTCTGACAGGCTGGGCACTCTTGACAGTATTTCTCTATAATTTTGTAAATACTAGGCCAGAACATGTGGCTTGTGAGTCTGGCTTTGGTCTTGTCCCTCCCTAAGTGTCCCCCCATTGGTATGGTATGAGCTACCCAGAGTCAAGGGGTCTGATAAGTGTGTGGCACCAAGATCTGTACTCTTTCCTCCTCATCCCTTTTCCTTTTTACTCAGTACAGGATGCTATCCCTTACACCTCAAAGTGTGGGTTCTGTGTCATCAGCTGGGGATCCAGTACCTCCTCCTCTTGTTTGGCCAGTCATTCTCGTAGGATGGTGTCATAGATTTCATAGACATTAGGGCTGGAAGGGACCTCAAGAGATCATCAAGTCAGGAAGTCAGCTAGGGTCAAAGGATCCCAGCAAGATAAGCATCCAAACGTTCCTTGAATGAGTCCAGAGTAGGTGCCTGCACCACTTCTGGAGGGAGTCTATTCTAGGCCTTGGGGGCTCAGATAGTAAAGAAGTTTTTCCTTATGTCCAGCCTAAAACAGCCATGGAGGAGTTTATGACAGTTGGTCCTGTTATCCCTCGGGGCGCTCTGGTAAACAAATATTCCCCCAGATCCTGATGCACACCCCTTATGTACTTATAGGCAGCCACCAGGTCACCCCTGAGCCTGCACTTTTCTAGGCTGAAGAGTCCCATGGCTCTCAGCCTCTCTTCATAAGGCCTATTTTCTTTCCCTCTGATCATGTACATAGCTCTCCTCTGGACTCTCTCAAGCTTCTTGACAGCCTTCTTAAATTGTGGAGCCCAGAATTGGATGCAGTACTCCAGCTGCAGCCTCACCAAGGCTGAGTACAGCAGGAGTATAACATCCTGAGATTTACTTGATAAGCATCTACAGATGCAAGCCAGAGTTTTATTTGCTTTACCTGCTGTGACATCACATAGGTGGCTCATGGTCATCTTGTGGTCAATCATGACCCCCAAGTCTCTTTCAGCCATGGTGCTAGCGAGCGTAGCACTGCTGAGCCTATATGCGTGCTGCGGGGTTTTTTCCCCCCAAGGTGGGGGACCTTGCATTTTTTGGTATTGAACGTCATCAGGTTTATATCTGCCCATTTACAAAGTATATCCAAGTCAGCCTGGATCACTAGCCTATCTTCAGGTGTGGATGCTATGCCCCAAAGGTTAGTGTCATCGGCAAACTTGGCCAGTGCACTTCTGACACCAGTGTCCACATTGTTGATAAAGATGTTAAACAGAACCGGTCCAAGGAAAGAGCCTTGGGGGACATCACTGGTCATGGAGCACCACAGTGATTTGCTTCCATTGACTAGTACTCTCTGGGTCCAACCTTGGAGCAAATTTCCCAGCCAGTGGCCTGTGGTATAGCCGAGGCCACAGGTGGCCAGTTTTTTCATGAGGAGATCATGGGACACCAGATCAAAGGCTTTTTTAAAGTCCAGATATATGATGTCAATCTCTTCTCCCTTGTCCAGGCTCTCGGTTCTGTTCCTCTTGAACTTGTGCACCTTGAGAATCAGGTCTAAGTCTAATTCATCAATCTCCTGTTCGAATCTTCACCAAAATAGACTTCACCTGTTCGCGATAAAGGTTCCTCCCCTTTGGGGCCCCTCATTGCTTGGGTTACCACCTCCCACAGATGGGGCCAGTCTACTCCAAGGAGCACTGGACAAGGCAGGGTCTCTGCCAAGCCTACTGCTAGCTCCTTAGTCACCCCATTACTGCCAGCTTGAGCTTTCTCCACTCATACAGATATGAAGCCCCATGTTTTAAGGCATCTTTCACTGTTCTCAGCTCATGCCTCTTGACCCATTGTTGGGTGTTTCCTCCTAGGTTTGCTAGAATTTGCTCCAGGATTATCATATCAATTACTTCCCATAGGAAATTTTCTTCTGGCTGGAGCCAGCGTTCCACTAGATCCCTTAGCTTCTGCATGAGTAACCAGGGCCTGAGCTCTTCTCCCTTCTTTCTAGCTTGAAATTTTTGTCGGTAAGACTCCGGGGATTATTTCAAGTGGTACAGTATTGCCACTTTCACTTTGTTGTAATCTTTGGCCTCAGATCTGGTAATGGCTCTATATGCAGCCTGGGCTGGTGCTATCAGTAGGGGTCTGATCTGAATGGCCCAGGAAGCTGGGTCCCATTTAGCAGCAGTAGCCATATGCTCAAAAGCTTCTAAGAATGTCTCACTGTCATCTTGTGTGGACATATTTGAGATCTGGGTCTCTTCCCCTCCTGGGATCCGTTTACCTGTCATGACTTGAGTTGTTCGCAGAGGTCCTTGCTGTTGGTTGAATAGCTGGATTCTTGCTTTGACCTCTTATCCCTGCATGCAGCTTAACTCCTCCACTTGAGCCTGCTGACATTGCAGGATCTCCAGCATCATGCTTTGTCTTTGTTGACAGTCTGTGGGTGCTTCAACTTCAATGGGGTCCATTTGGCTTGTCAGTCTCCTGCAGTTCCTGGCCAATGCACCAGTTGTGGCTGAGGTAGGGTAAATCAACGAATTCTCCCCCTTGGGGGCTCTCCTGCCACGCCTTCGATGTTGAGAGAATAAAGAGAGATGTTAAACCCTGAAGGATCATGCAATTGATCACCCTGCTCTTAAACAAAATGAAAATTGGTTTTATTTAGTTTTCCAGTTACAAACGCGGCCACAGCTGTTTTTCTATGCATGGGGCTCCAGGTCCCCTTTTTCTATAATGCCACCAGAGAGGTTATATCTTGACCTCTCCTCCTGTTTCTTCTTTTCTTCACAGGTCTCTGCTGTCTATCCCAGTCCTCCTCTGAACTCCCTCAGTCCAACTCACCAGGTAAGTGCTTGCTGCTCTTTTCTCTGTGAGTGCGGGGACTGTGCTGCAGTTTGCCTCACCCAGCATGTGAAGTTCTGTTGCTCCTGCTCTGAGCCTTGGCTGTCCTTGGCAGTGCTGGCCTCCTTTCCCTCCTCTGTTTCTTCATGTGCTCCCGGGAGCAAACTGCTGCCCCAAAGATCTCCTCTTTTGTAGCCCCCTAGATCCTAATCTACCGTGCCCGTGTTCCCAGTGTGAGAGATGGCACAGCTGTGCCTTGCGCCAGCATCCATGCCCTTTCTGTGACCCAGATCCTGTAGCAAAACGCCCAGTTTTTCTTTTTCTTTCTTTCTTTCTTTTTTTTTTAAAATGCATTCCCTCCCCTTCCCCAACCATTTCTGGCTTTGTCTCTCCCTCTCTCTTCCTTATAGATAAGTATAAGTGAGTTAAGACATAGGATAAGCTTTAGCATTTTATTTTGGTAGCAAGTTGTATTTGTTTTGTTTCTTCTCCTTCTTTATATTGTATAATTATTATGTTTATATTGATTTTTACTGTTCTATATTACTGTTTTACTGGTACTATATGACTTAGGCCTACATATGTAAGTTATCATAGGTCATGTCAAGTTTCCATTTTGTTTGTCAAGTCTCTATTCTGTCCCCAGGCCTGGCTGTATAACCCATGCCTCACACCTACCCCTCCTATGCAACTTGGTTCCTGAATGAATGGGGATGAATGAGGGTGCTTGAGAGACAATGGCAGTAGGTCTAAAAATAGCTCCCTCTGAATGACCAAACCATCAACACCAATACCTGGACCAATGATCCAGCCCTTGGAACCACCCCCAGCATTCAAGAAACAAAAGATGAGGCAACTCACCATTGTGCCAAGGCTGCACATGCTCAGTAAGAACACCTGGAGCCCTCTGGAACAGGACTGACCTTGCCTGGACAGGCCCTCCCCATAGGAGATCAGAGGTAGTCTGCCCCATAAAAAGAGGTAGTGATGACTGACTCCCTGGGACGCCCTCTCCATCTGGACCAGCACCACGCCACACCACCTATCCACCCAGAGGCTCTGCTGGCAACTCCCCTCTGGACAACACCTACCGGACAAAGACCCCTTTCCAGCCTGGATAGGTAGCTATCACCCCCCACCCCCCTCTTCAACCAAGGACTTGGACTCTGTTTCTCTCCCACCAGGACTCCATCCTTTCCACTGAGTCTCTTTCTCCTGCTGCCATTGTGTGTGTGTGAACCAATAACTTCATGGGGCTGTGTAGCATGTTGTCTGTTTAATAAACCAGTGATTTGGACCCTTGAGTTAGGTTTTGCTTTACTATGGTTCAGCCTGGCTCCAATCTCTGCTCCTCTCCCTTCTAACTTCTTTCTCATTTCTCCCTCTCCTGCTTCTGGCTCACTGCCACCTCCAACCCCTGTCCTGAGCTCCTCTCTGCCTCCAAACCACCTGTTTCTTTGCCACTGTCTTATCCCCACTGCCTTTTCCCCTGAGCAGCCAGGTTTCTGCCTCAGTTTCTTTCCTGGCTGTCTCCTCCTTGCCACCACTTATCTGCCCCCCACCAATATCTCAGCTGTCTGCCTCAGTTTCCAGCCCCAAGCTCCCAGGTTTCTGTCTCTCTCTCTTTCCTGGCTGTCTCCTCCTTGCCACCAGGCTTCTTTCCTACCCCTGCCCCCAATGCACCAGTGACCTCAAGTAACCCTGGGGCCACGTGATCTTAAGTAAACCCAAGCCTCAGCCCCTCAGTCAGCTTCTCTCTAGTCCACCAGTTCTAATCCTGGTTCTGGCAACTTTCACTCCCTACACTTTAACTCTCTCACCTTAACCTTCCCCCAAGTATCCCAGGTACCCCAAGCATACACATACATACCGTACCATCCAAGTTAGGAACTTACCTATGTGTAGGTGTGTTGTATGTATGTGAACTGGTGAGTATGTGTGTGTATATATATATATCATTGTATGCATGATATTATGAATTAGTGATCTGTGTATACGTACTGAGTGTGCAGGTATTGACATTTGATTTTTGTCTAATTTTTAGTGTGTGGTGTGTATGTGCTTGAATTGGTGATAGGTATGAATGTGCCTAGGATGGTTTGAATGTGTATGTGCTTGAGCTGGGAGTGTGTGTTTGTGTATACAACTAATTGATTTGTGTGTTTGTATATGTGCAATTGTGTCACACCCTCCTGTCTAACAGCGCAATATTGAGATCCTGAGAGTTGGTGTGACCCCACAAGGAAATAATCACATCTTCCTACTTGGGGAAGAAGACTGGCTAAGGAACAGGGTTGAATATCACCCTGTTACAGTCCACATTAGTGGCAGGTGAATTTTACTGGTGTTAGAAGGGATTCTTCTGGTAGGTAACTTTCAGTGGCTTGCATGATAATAATGTGTTTGAGATGAAAAGTGTTACTTTTAGTCTGAATGCATTGATAGCAAAGCTGGTACCTGAACCTGCTAAGTGTTTGCAAGATGACTTCTGAATGCAGGATTTATGAAGTGTTACAATTGCTTATCACATTTCCTTTAGTTTTATTGTATGGAATGGAACTACAGGGATCTGACCCCTTGGTTCATTCCAAAATAGAAAGGTGGCTTTTACCTCTATAAAACTCTACAACAGGGGAACTCATATGATCTGAAATGGGGTTCCTTAATTGGACTATTTTATCTCAGTTAAGTGTCATGACTCAAAGGGTATGATTTTGTGTGTGCTTCGGCACTGCAGAATTATTTCCCGCCACAAGGAGCTTTCTTTGCACGGTGCAATTCTCAGTTGCATAGAGAAAACCCCGGTGCAAAGGAGTTCCTGCCACCCACATGCAAATTTGTTCCCCACTATTGGCTGTTTCTAAATTATTCCCACGTGGCGGCTAGCAATTGGCTTGCTAGCCGTATAAGAGGCTTGAGGGGTTTCCACCCAAGTTGGAGATCTCTGGGGAGAACCTCATTTAGGAGGACTCCACATCCATCTCGTGGAGAACTCTAAGCACTGTGGAGCTTAACAAACCCCACGTGTACCTTAGAGGAGGATACAGGGGCCTGATCAACCTCTAGCCTCTCCCTGTCGCCGCCTGATCCCTCGACGTACCCTTCCCTGCGCGCTCGGTCCACGGAGCCTAGCAAACTTCGTGTGTGTGTGTATCCAGAGCTCTTTCCGGGTTTAAGAGGCTCGAGTTTTCTACGGGTCTTGTTCGTGCGAGTTTTCTTTTCGTTTGTAACTGCAACTTAAGCAAAGTTTTTCCTGCCTGCACCGCGACCATCTACAGTGTAAGTAAAATAATCTTTAATCAACCGCTACGCGTCCGTGCCTAATTCTAGTCTGCCGTGCCGAATTCCCTGACCCATGTGCCAGGGCTGCTGGCTACAGCCCGCTGCGCGCCCCCAAAAGCCTCGGACCGCTCACAGCCCGCACATTAAGAAACCCAAATTATTGGATAAAAATTAGAGCTTGTACCCCTATCAGATACTGTAAGGAGTGCATTTCAGAAGCTTCTCTTCCTAATAATCTTTTATTTGAATAGTTAAAAACATTTATGCTCTCTTCCAGAAAAATGTCCTAGGGATGAACTGACTCAATATTTCCCCCATATTTAAAGAAAGATAAACATTTAAGAATTAAAGACATCGGCATGCAGACAAATATGCAGGCAGTGATATTTTCTCAAACTTCTTCTTTTTTATATTAATAAAGCAGTCTTTTGCCCTAGAAACCTATCGATCTGAAGAAAACTACAAACAATGAGAGGTCATTATGAGACTGTGATTCACTCTAATGAGATCTGCAGTCATAATGGGAAGGTGGTGTTGGACCCCATATTAGGATAGGATATGTTCTTGATGGAAGAATGAGCTAGATGACCTAAGTCACTATTTGCGGTCCTGTTCATTTTTTGACAAAATAAGAGTATTGCTCCATTAATGGAAACAAAACAATGTATTTCCTCTCTAACAATTTACAGCCTGTCCTATACTCCGCAGGTATATTTGCACTACTTGCACTACTAAGGGTCAAATAGAATTCCCTGTTTAAAATTTTTTATTCTACTATTTTATATTGTATTTATATATTTATATTTTATATTGTATTTATTTTTATGTATCAACATATATTATTCAATTTAAATTGTATCTGAATTAGTAAAATGTGTAATTTCATTGAATGGTTTTACTAATAACCATAAAGCATGTCATTTTATTATTTATATAGTATTATATATACTATATAATTTAATTATTAATTCTACTGTACCATTTTAGCAAACGCAGCAAATTAATTACTACCATGTCACAAGGAAAATAAGGTGACAAGAGATCCAAAATACAAGGATGACTTTCTAATTACAAGCATACAATTTGTTACAATTACTAATAGCGCAGCCTGGAGGGATATTGTGTTACTCTTAAGGGTAGAGCCCAAGAAGGAATATTCAGTCCTGCAGCCCCTGATGTGAATGGGAATTTATTCATTATCAGCCCTCTCTACTCTTCGATGAGGTTTAGGTTAGAATTTTTACAAACCTAGGTAAACCAAAACCAAAAACTCTGCCTCATCTTGTCTGTTATATTATGTGATTTGGTTTAAACAACTTGAGTTAAATGCCCCCTTTTCAGTGTAGACATAACCTAGAGATGTTTAAAGGTACTTAGGTGCTTACAGGTATTTAGGTGTTTACAGACGTAAATATGTGCAAAGGTTTGGGTGGTGATTTGATTCA